CCGCTGGGAAGGCCCGCGCAACAATGTTTTGGAGGGCAGAGCCCCAGCTGCTGTCGTGGAACGAGCGCGGCTGGACTGCGAAGAGCTGCCCTGTTTCTGGCACCGAGGCCTGGTGCCAGGATCTTGGGTTGAAGTGGGCCCCCCATTGATTCGCCCCCGCCTCTCGACCTCGACCTCTCGCCCTCGGAGTTGGAGTTCCCCTGCGGCGTGGTGTTTGGAGCTGGCGACGTCAGCGGGGGGGGGCCACTCAGCCGACCCTAGACTTAGGCGCATTGGTTGGCCCGCCATTATTTTCCAGGATGGAAGCCACCTCCAGGCGAGCAGATTGTCTGAGATCAAATCCTGGGGTGGGCCACTGGAATTAAAACAATATGTGAACAGATGAGAGCAGCTCCGAGCTTTCGGAACCTTTCTGAGGGCCACGGGGCCCATTCCGATTGAAGTCGAACGTCATTGTATCACCGATAGCGCCTATGTCCCCCGCGGCTTCTCAGCTATAATGCGCGGGGAGTTTCCTACCAGCAACATTACCGATTGGCTTGAGCTCCAAGCGGTGATCAGAGACACTCCTGGGTTAGTTGTGCGGCTCTTCAAGGTTGAGTCCCACCTTTCGGTTGCTGAAGCCCAGGAGCGCTCGATCCCGCTTTCCCATTTCTTTGCGAATCAGAGAGCGGACGAGTTGGCCGGGGTTTTTGCTGAGGAAGCCCAGCTTCCATACTCGCAGCGTGCTCAGACTGAATTGGTTGCTAAGGTCGCGGCGGTGGTCAGGAAGCATTTAGCGGTGGTCCTCCTTGACTGCGCCTCCCACCATGTCCCTCCTCCGCCGCGGCCCAAGGTTGAACGTCCGAAACTTTCTAAGCATGCCCGTGAGACTTTAAAGCTCAGCCGTGCCCTGAGTAAGTCGCAACACAAGATCCCGAACCCTCGCCGCCCATTTTGGCAGTGCTCCTTGTGTGACGGACGCACGGCTAGGAAATTCGCCTTCGATTTTCGGAATACGCCGCGCCGTGCCGCTGCTCGCTCTGTGGAGCCGACGGTTTTTTTCCGCCCGAGTCATTCATCATACTCACCGACTCCAGACGGGGGTCCAGGGCACGGTGTTTTGCTCTGCTCGTGGACTGCATGGCCGATTTCGGGTCCGTTCCGATGGCTTGGGCAAGCCCTGTCGACCGATCACGCGCCGCGGGCGCAAGAATCTGGCGGCCCCCCTCCTGGGCCAACTTCCACAGCAGAGGGCAAAGCATTGCAGAACGGTTTTCTCTACTAAACGATCTCTTTAGGCTGGCCAGCTTCTGTTCCCCCTCGTCGGGGCTCAAGATTTCTTATTTCACGTACTGTGTCATGGTGGGGTCAGGCGAGGGGGTCGATGGAGCCCCGACCGCGGCCTTTCCCTTCTCTGTCTCGTCTGCCTGCTAGTATGCGCCCCTTTCGTCGGAGCGGATGGCGGCGGGCCCTTGGTCTCGAGCTGGAGGGTTCTCAGGGTGCTCGAGCACAGGGGTGGGCGCAGGCCCGCCCCGACCGTGGCTCAACCTTTCTCGGTTATGTTGCGGTTTTGGTTGCAATGCCACACCTGGCCCCAGCGCCGTCTGCGTCGGCAGCGCACTGGCTGCCCCGTCGCCCCCGCTCGATTGCACAGCGTCGAGCGGGGTGACGCCTCACCCCCTGCGCTTTCGCGCTCGCCAGTTAGAAAATAGAAAGAAAGTCTTCTTGGGCTTCTCTTGGGGGCCTTGTTAGGGACTGTCGGGTTCTTTCTAGAGCATTCGAAGTTTCCTTGGGCAGTCTTGGGGCCATCCAGGCCGTCTAGAGGCTGTCTTGGGAGTTATTGGGCCGCTTTGGGGCGATGCCAGTGGCCTTCCTGGCTGTTTTGGACGCTGCCAAGACCCGACCGAACAGCGAATATGCTTAAAATGCGCGTTTCCCTGAGGAAATGAAGCGACCCTTGCGTTTTGGGAGTCCTGTTCAGGGCCTCCTGGGCCGTCTTGAGGGCCTCTGGAAGACCATGTGGGTCTTTTTTGGAGCGCTCTTGTGCTGTCTTGATCACCGCTCCGATCGCCTGGAGTCTGCTGGAAAGACTTGGCCAAGCGCCCTGGCAGATTTGGGACAGGCCGGGGGGCCTTTGGCAAGTGTGTCCGGGAGGCCCGGACACCCCAGATCCTGGGGGGCCAGTTTTGGGGGGGGGAGGTTTCCCCATCCCCTTGGCTGGTAAAAATACAGGAACAGGAGTATAT